AAAATGTTTATGAGTGTGACCAGTAGTACTTCCTATATTAACAATGGGTCACATCACTAAGAGTCAGTTGTAGTGACAACACACAAATAATTATTAACCAGCTCCACAATTTTGCTAAGATCTATGGAACTTTTTAGCCTCTTTTGTCTTATTGTTTTGGTTTTAAGTTGCAACTTTACTGTTTTGATTCACTCCTTTTTATTAAAAAAAAATTGCAATAAAGAAAAAGAAAAAAACATGTACAGGAACACATACACATCCAAAAGAGCTGCTGATATAACGTAAGACCAAAATGAACGATAAAAACAAAGGTGACAAAAAAAAAAAGATAATTTCCAACTTGTGGGTATGTTGTTGACAAAAACAAAAAAACAAAAGAAGTCAAAAAGAAACAAAATAAAGGAAGTCCACAAAGACTGACTATGCAAATATGTGTGTATCGTGTGTATTATTGGGATGCTGTGTGTTCAGGGGTGTAACTATAGACAGTGCAAACAGTGTGGTTGCGCTGGGGCCCTTAGGGTGGAAGGGCCTGACTGCCACCTGGAAATACAATCCATGTGGAAAGAACAACTCACATAAAATTAAAAATTGTGCGATTTTCTATATATGCCCTCAAAAACACAAGCCCATCCCCATCATGGTTTTCTGTTTTTGTAAAATAGTATCAATCCATAACAGACTTATATGCTTATAAACTATAAAAACTATTTAGTTAAACGAATAATTTCCTATTTTCTTTTGTAGTTTTTGACATACAGATATGTAATGTTGATTGCTGGGTTATTTGTATGTTGAGTGTCAAGTCTTTGTGTAATCATGTAATGAGATGTTACACTTTATAGTAACTAGTTTAGATGCAAAATCTCTCATGACTGACAAGCTGGGCACATCTGCAAGCAGATATAACATAAAAGCAGCAGTAAGACACACTGTTGGTAAAATACATGTCTAAATCTGTGTGTGTGTGTGTGTGTGCGTGCGTGTGTGTATGTGTGCTTCATAACACATTACTAGTAACGAAGCAACACCCGGGGCCCATCGTGACTACCATACACTGCTGTGTGTGTTATTATTATATTTATACAAATCTGCACAACATATATTACATACTCAAATCATATATATATATATATATACACACATACATAAACTTTTATTCCTTTTTGCATGTAAAGGAGAGGGAGAAAGAAGGGGATGAGAGAAAAGAAAAAGAAGACAGAAAATCATTCACTCCTAATGTAGGCTACAATATCTGCTTAACATGGCAGACAATGTTAGCAACTCCGTGGTGAATATTTAGCAGATAAAAGCCAGATATCTTTCAGTTGGTGGGTAAATATCGCAGGGGCGGAGCAGGGCGTGGCTTCTGGGGCTCCAGCCCTGAATTTCCTCTCAGAATCCCCGAATCTATGCTATTCCCTGAAGAAATGTGATATAATTGAGTAAAAGTTCTTCTTTTTGCCTTGATTCCAGTGTACTGAGGACTAAATTAACTTAATTAACATTCATTTTGTGGACTCTACTCCAGCACAGTACAACAAAAAAAGTTTCAAGATCAGTAATGTTGTTTCTGCAACAATTTTACCTCATTCTAAATGGCATGAGTCAAAATTATTTATCCTCAGTATTTGTGGTGTTACAGTTTCTGAATGATGAAGAAATCTGAAGAACAATTAGATTCAAAATCAGATGTAGGCTGATTTTTTTGGATGGGTTTTCCCCCCTTGGCAACCATCATGTTTTCCCCAGATGATGCAGGCTAGGCCGACAGACTTTTGGGCATTCTTTTATCTCAGATGCCTTACAAATAGTGCATATAGCTGACCCCACTGGCTTTGGGCTGAGCCCCGAATGTTTGCAACATCTGGCTCGGACCATGGAATTTTGGACCATCAGGTGTCCACAGACAACTCCAAGTAAATGTATTCACTCTGTGTCTGCTGAATGTGCAGGCAACTGTCTGCTGAAGTATTTGCAACAACAACTTAATAAAGTGGTAAGATTTCAATTTTGATGTCAATATTTCTGCAATATTTATAAATCACATCTTTTAAGATCACATCTTTAAGATTTGTAGACTTTGTGGCCTTCATTTCTTCTGTGATAGCCTTTCAATGTATTATCATTCCTTCATTGCTTCTTTATGTAGGCGAGTAGTTTTAATTGTGACTGGAGGAGAATCAAATTGCATGCTGTGCACAAGGGATTCTGAGGAAACAATAGATTCATACATTGAACATGGTGTGGAACTCAGAGGCTGCTACCAGGGTATACTTTAAATAATAAACACTGTTGATTTTCTTTTTCAGCCTACATTATTGTAACAATGTGATACAAAAAAATCGCCTCAGCCCATGGTTTGTTTGGTTACGCTGCACATGGCTACATAGAGTTGATTCTTGTACTGAGTTTTAGACATTTGAGAGTAGCTCAACATTTACTCAAAACTTTATTGACCTTGTATTTAGCTTTTTGGTGTGCAAACTCTTGAGAATGTGCAGAAAATCTAAAACAAAGAGAAGTAGCTAAAAAGCTGCAAATAACTGCAAAGTGTGGTTGTGTCTGCTTATTTGATTCAATGTCTATATAAAACATATTTCATTATACACAAGACTTTGGCTCTTTCTATCAATTTAACTGAATCCATCAAAGCTTTTAGGACCACCACCATCAGCCCTGCTTAACCCTATAATGCCCACAATAACAAGGATAATGTGGATACATTGTGAAAATGAATCTCTTTTCCTCAGTTGTGGCCTTCCTGAACTGCACGTTCAATCACAGAGAACAGATCTTTTTCGTTTACAGATCTGAAGCGGTGTTCAAATTTAATAAACACAAAAATGCTGTACTGTAGTTAGTGCAGATGGAAAAGCTTTTGATAAAGTGTTTTCTAGCTAAACGGATCCACAAGTTAGATCCTGTTTTCCTGTTAGTTCTTCCAAATTAGTTTGCTAACAGTAACAAGTTACCCAAAAGAGAGAGACACTTAAAAATCTTGGAGCTAATTAGGTAAATATTGGATTTTGGACTTTTACAGTACATTTGTTTGACCGACACACACCGTCTGGCTCCCAGACGAGCTGGAAGATAATGACTGCAATTCCATTTGGAGGGGAACTATCTCTTTAATGCTGTTTTCTCTTTTTTTCAGGTCAGAGGTCAGGCTTGGCAAAAGAGCAGCAGACAAGTGGGTGTTATTTCCTTTCCTGTGCTATCATCATGCCCACGAGGAACCTGATTGGTCTGTTGAAGTTCTGCACTGTTTAATGAATATTCTCTCTAACTACAGAGCTACTCTGCTTCAGTTGTGTAATTTGATTTTCAGGTCATTTCAGAAGATTTGTCTGCATAATGTGGGTAACCTCAATTCTGAAAATGAAAAGTGAATCAAAGTTGGTTTATGCTGCACTACATTAACCACATAGCCTATACTTGCAAAATAGAGACAATATTAACATTGTGCAATTAAAGCTGAAATTATATATATATTTAATGATGAAATATAAATCATATATCATTTTACTGCCATCTGTTGACAATATGATGAAGATTTTTTCTGACCACAGCTACATAAATACAGTCTATAAAACCTGCAATTACATTTGAGCATGTTAAAAATTAAAGGGACAGTTCAGCCCAAATGTACATTTTTTCCTTTTACCTGTAGTGCTATTTATTCATCTAAATGTTTTGGTGTGAGTTGCAGAGTTTTGGAGATATCAGCCGTGAAGATGTCTGCCTTCTCTCTGATATGATGGAAGCACTCAGCTTATGGCGCTCAAAGCACCAAAAAAACACATTTAAAAAACTCAACAGCAATGTCTCTTTCCAGAAGTCATGACCCAATTACTCAAGATAATCCACAGACCTTGTTGTGAGCAGTTTAATCAAGGAACTATTTTCTTCCTACTGAACTACACCCACCAACTGTATCACTGCTCAGAAGGAATCATGCATTTCATGCTTGTGAATGCACAGTATGCAAACATTACGCCTCCTCGGCTGAGCTGTCACGTTGGCTAGCTCAGTGGTGCTAGGTGAGGTAGCAGTTAGAGGTGTGGACTCTTGTCACATGACTTGGACCTGAGTCAGATGTGAGTCACAAATTTGCTGACTTTAGACTTGACTTGACGAAATCAAGAAAGACTTGCAACTCGATCGGAATTTAACAATGACTCGTGACTTCATGCCTTTTGCCTTGTAAATACTTGTAATACTTGTACTTGTAATTTGCTTGCCTTCAATGATAGACCTCATGTGTACTGAACCTACCTTTTGACCAGTAAAGACTATTATTTCTCGAGAGTTGTACGTTTGAGTCCACTCTCACCTGGTTCACCAGCTGTTACACTGATTAATAGTGCTATATAAAAGTGCAATGTCAGCACTACTTTTTTATAATCAAGTTCAGTCGCACTTGTTTTAACAAACTTGTTTCAACAAATAAATCCACATTTCAAGAATCATTCATGATTTTTGTAAATTGGATGTGTCATTACTCCATTGTTAGAAGGGCATTACAGTTCGTAAGGCGTGCTTTTAAAGACTTGAGACTCACTTGTAACTTACAAAACAATGACTTGGTCCCACCTCTGTTAGCAGTAGATGCACACTTCCTCCTGCACAGTGATACAGTTGGTGGGTGTAGTTCAGTAGAAAGAAAATAGTTCCTACATGAAACTGCTCACAACAAGATCTGTGAATTACCTTAGTCATGATTTCTGGAAAGAGACGTTACTGTTGAGTTTTTCAAATATATTTTTTTGGCACTTTAAGCACCACAAGCAAAGTGTCATCTAATTCCATTATAATGAGTAGAAGGCAGACATCCCTACAGCCAAAACAATATAGACTGATAAATAGCACTACAGGTAAGAGGAAAAATATGTGTTTTTGATTTTTGGGGTGAACTGTTCCTTAAGTAACTGTTAGTTTTTCCTGGTCCAAATGCTGTTTCAGAGGGCTCTGGAGAAAGCACAGACAACATTGAACAGTCCTGCTGAACTCTAGTCCCAGTGTGACTTCAGTTTATTTTCCATGATCATCTTTAAAGTTTGATATCTCCTATAAATTATGAAAGACAGGGGAGGGCCATGCACCGCAGCAGAGTAAGAAAACATGAGGCCTGAACAAGAGAATATACAGACACTGAAGAATTACAACACATCAAAACAGGAAAATTAAGTGTGTGTGGGCATAATAACTAACCAAAAGCATCTGCGGCATGTTGAAAACCGAAAGCCGTCCAGCGGTAGTAAATTCATTTGGACAGTGGTAAACCAGGAGTGACAAAAATACCTCAGGCACAGAATCACCCTTGCACTTAAAGTCAAAATTGCATGTTTAACACTTGCATGAATCCTGCCCCCTTATTTTTTCACTGCCCCAACAACTCTCACACACTCTCTCTCTCCTTCTCCCTCTCTTATTTACATGTGTCCCAGTTTTCTAGCCAGTGCAGAGCCCATGTCTGCCAGCAGCTCCTCCCTGATGCGGTCCTCACTCCTCTGCAGCTCATGGATGAAATGCCCCCTAAGTGTCTTCATCTCCATCACACGTTCCACCAGCTGCCTGCGTGTCACGCCCCGTGCCCCTGGGGGGCAGTCTGGTCTGTTGTCCACCAACTCTGGCCTTTGGTCACATAGAGACAGAGCCCTCTTCAGACCCCCAGAGTCTGCATCCAGCAGCTGATCTACACTATGCTTTCGACCCAGACGGTCTGCATGGGTGAGCACTGGAATGACGTGCCCCACGACCCCGTCACCAAACAGCTCAAGAGTGGCTCGGACTGCCTGAGCTGCATCCTGGTCCATCCCCATGCTGGAGCCTGGAGCTCGGATCACCAGCAGGAAGGCGTGTGGTCCAGGACTGGAGAGCTGAAGGCTCCTCAGAGCTTCCCTGGCTCTCTTGGTGTTCCCCAGTGACAGCCCCAAAAGATCTGGAGTGTCGATCAATATAATCTCTCGACCATCCACTACTGTCCTTCTCTTGATGCTCTCCATTAAGGGACCCATGGGTGCCCTTGTCTCACTGTTGCCCAACAAAGTATCTGCAAGAGAGGTCCGTCCTCCACCTGTGGGCCCCAGGAGGATCAGTCTCAGGCCTGGTTTGTTGGTCCCTGACTCCAGTGCTCCATCTGTGGATGACCCTGCAGAGGTGACAAGTTTTTATCAGATAAATAATAAAGCACTTTTGGGAAGAGCTGTGATTCTCAGCCCAGCTGGGCCTGAGTGAGTGGATCTTATGGTTTTAATATCTTAGATTTAACAGAAAGTGGTACCCCTAAGGAGGGGCCTTGGCCACCCTGATACAGTTACTGGTCCCCCACTGGCCCCCTCCTGGCAAAAACAGTTGGAGGCTGACCTTACTGTCTTTAGGAGGTTGTGGTGTGAAGGTAGAGGACTTTTTAAAAACTAGACAACCTAAGGGATCTATTGGTACCAACAATGTCAATATAGTTTGTCAGGAAAGGGGCTAGAAAACACTTCAGAGTTCGGCTAAATATCGGTGAGGGAACAACCGACCGTCATTTTTAAAGGGGTCCCTTGAACTCTCACCTCAAGATATCAGCATGAAAATGAGTTCTATGGGTACCCACAAATCTCTCAAACGTGAGAGGGCTTGTTTCCAGTAAATGTTTTGATACAATCAATGTGCTCCTACAAATTAAAGCTGTATATTTGTCTTTTTAAGGAAAAGGACTGCCAGCCTATTTGAAGAACAATGAATTGCTTAAAGGCGAAAACACACTGCTGGCGGACGGTGCACGTCAAAAAATATGCCCCATTATTTTCAATGTATAACCCCACACCGGTGGTGGCTAGACATGCATCAGCGCTTCTGGATGTTCTGTCCCCAAATTAAATGCGTTTTCCCTCACTTGCTCTCTGCTTGTACATACCAGCTCCTGTAAGAGCTCTTTTTTTCAGCTCCTATGGCAGCTCGACTCCTCTCCTAACCAACGATGCATAAAGAGAACTCTGTTGCTTTGTCTCTTGTGATGAAGAATGGATGAAAAGAGACCTGTTGAGGTCAAGAAATATCTCAAACTAAACGACCCACAATCCCGACATTATAAAGACCATGGCCAAAAAGATACAGTACAGGCCAAAAGTTTGGACACACCTTCTCATTCAATGCGTTTTCTTTATTTTCATGACTATTTACATTGTAGATTCTCACTGAAGGCATCAAAACTATGAATGAACACATGTGGAGTTATGTACTTAACAAAAAAAGGTGAAATAACTGAAAACATGTTTTATATTCTAGTTTCTTCAAAATAGCCACCCTTTGCTCTGATTACTGCTTTGCACACTCTTGGCATTCTCTCCATGAGCTTCAAGAGGTAGTCACCTGAAATGGTTTCCACTTCACAGGTGTGCCTTATCAGGGTTAATTAGTGGAATTTCTTGCTTTATCAATGGGGTTGGGACCATCAGTTGTGTTGTGCAGAAGTCAGGTTAATACACAGCCGACAGCCCTATTGGACAACTGTTAAAATTCATATTATGGCAAGAACCAATCAGCTAACTAAAGAAAAACGAGTGGCCATCATTACTTTAAGAAATGAAGGTCAGTCAATCCAGAAAATTGCAAAAACTTTAAATGTGTCCCCAAGTGGAGTCGCAAAAACCATCAAGCGCTACAACGAAACTGGCACACATGAGGACCGACCCAGGAAAGGAAGACCAAGAGTCACCTCTACTTCTGAGGATAAGTTCATCCGAGTCACCAGCCTCAGAAATGGCAAGTTAACAGCAGCTCAGATCAGAGACCAGATGAATGCCACACAGAGTTCTAGCAGCAGACCCATCTCTAGAACAACTGTTAAGAGGAGACTGCGCCAATCAGGCCTTCATGGTCAAATAGCTGCTAGGAAACCACTGCTAAGGAGAGGCAACAAGCAGAAGAGATTTGTTTGGACCAAGAAACACAAGGAAAGGACATTAGACCAGTGGAAATCTGTGCTTTGGTCTGATGAGTCCAAATTTGAGATCTTTGGTTCCAACCGCCGTGTCTTTGTGAGACGCAGAAAAGGTGAACGGATGGATTCCACATGCCTGGTTCCCACTGTGAAGCATGGAGGAGGAGGTGTGATGGTGTGGGGGTGTTTTGCTGGTGACACTGTTGGGGATTTGTTCAAAATTGAAGGCACACTGAACCAGCATGGCTACCACAGCATCCTGCAGCGACATGCCATCCCATCCGGTTTGCGTTTAGTTGGACGATCATTTATTTTTCAACAGGACAATGACCCCAAACACACCTCCAGGCTGTGTAAGGGCTATTTGACCAAGAAGGAGAGTGATGGAGTGCTGCTGCAGATGACCTGGCCTCCACAGTCACCGGACCTGAACCCAATCGAGATGGTTTGGGGTGAGCTGGACCTCAGAGTGAAGGCAAAGGGGCCAACAAGTGCTAAACACCTCTGGGAACTCCTTCAAGACTGTTGGAAAACCATTTCAGGTGACTACCTCTTGAAGCTCATGGAGAGAATGCCAAGAGTGTGCAAAGCAGTAATCAGAGCAAAGGGTGGCTATTTTGAAGAAACTAGAATATAAAACATGTTTTCAGTTATTTCACCTTTTTTTGTTAAGTACATAACTCCACATGTGTTCATTCATAGTTTTGATGCCTTCAGTGAGAATCTACAATGTAAATAGTCATGAAAATAAAGAAAACGCATTGAATGAGAAGGTGTGTCCAAACTTTTGGCCTGTACTGTACTTCCTGGCAAGTCATAGCTCTGGAGATCGACTCTTCAGGTACGAAATCAATTTAAATAAGTGGGTGTCCACAGATGATTTTAGGCTAATGTAGAGGTGGAAGAGGTACAGATCTTTCAGTAAAAGTCATATTAACGTTGTGTGGTTGTCTGTTGACAAGCTGCAAATGATGGGTCCTGTGTGTGCTTGGGGTGGCAATTGGTGCACGTCACCTGATGTGCCATGCCGCGGCTGTGCCAGTGTGTTATCAGCTTAACATTTATAGATATGTAACACATTAAACAGGATTGTTGTAAAACTCAAAATGTTAGCTGGACCAGTATTTGCATATGCACTTGAGATAGTTCCTTAACTCTCCTTATTGCCACATAACAAGCCCATTACCTGAAAGGCATAATCAAATTCCTTGAATTCAGTTATGGCTTTTGTTTTTTTGGTGTGCCACCCCAAGATTTTCAGGGGCCCCATCTGGTCACCCCTACATAAAAATTCTGGGGGCACCACTGTCAACAGAACAAAGAGAAAACCCAAAACCATGTACCAAAAGGAGAATGAAGGTGAACTGACCTGTGATGACAGCAACCAGCCACTTGAACTTGGAGGAAGACGCTGATGGAGGAGCAGATTGCAGCTGCTTGATTATAGGCCTATAATTATCATGTAGCTCTATCGCTAAAATAGCCCCACTCCATTCAGATACTAAATTGCTGTCATGTGTCTGCTGAATTTCTGAGTCACTTCCTCAGACTACCCAGGCACTCATATTGAAAACTTCTCCTGACATGTTTACCTTCGCATAGAAGGTTCAAATGAAGCAATAATGAGCAAACAACACACACAAATGCAACCAGCACTCACCTGCAAAAAACTTCCAAACTCGAGACAGCCATTTGCACAGGCTCTTGATTACTGAGACATAAAAGAAAAGTTAGCATATGACTTGACATGTTATATTTTACTTGATTCCTATGGGTCAGAAAAGAGTGTTCCATACCACGAAGAGTTCCCACCAGGCGGCTCACCCAGCCCCAAAGAGCTGACAGACCTGTGGCAGAACACACATTAATGATCTGGTGATTTTATTTTACAACAACATGACAGTACTGACGGTTTTGTGAGCTGTCAGTTAGAATCAGACTGTGAAGAAGAGGACAAAGTGACCAGTGATATACCACTCTGACTACACTCACCCGTTACAGAGCAGAACAGACGAATGGGCCATCGGATCAGAGCTGGGAGTGCTGCAGGAAAAACACAGTACTATCAGTATTACAGCAGAGGTCATCATGGATTTATTGGTGTTGTAGCATTAAGAAAACACACAGTATCACCTACTTTATCCTTTAGAAATGTGTGTTTTTGATCAGCAAATGAATGTGCACAGGTCTGTTGTAAATCTGTCTACTCAATACTTGTGGGTTGGAGGTCACCCTCTGTGAGTAGGACCCCTAAACCCATGATAAAACATTTATGTCTGATCTCATCACCACCATTTCTGATCATTTCAAGCAACTTTAATCTGTTTTATATTTCCTGTGCTTTGTAGTACATTAACTCCCTATCTCTGAGAGGACAGGTCAATCAATCAGAGAAACAACATGGCTTATATTTCAGGCTAACTTTCTGTGTTTGCCAAATGAGTATGAGCATGTGTGTCAGTGAGTGACTGACTCTGTGAAAATCTGTAGAGAAGATACCCCACTACGGTAAAAGCTCCCATCTGGACGCTGTTGGCATTCATCCACCAGCCTAAACAGAGAGGGGAATGAGGAAAGCATGACATTAGTACTGCACACAGCTTATCATGGGGTTTACCTTTCACCCAAATGGGAGATGGAGAATGAAATACTCTAAATCCGAAAAGCATATTGTTTCAGGACTTTCTGTGTGTGTGTGTGTGTGTGTGTGTGTGTGTGGCTATGGCTGCAGGCATATCAAAATTTACAATCATTTTCAACTTTATATGTAAAGGCTGACATCACAATCTCTCATTCCAGGATCGTTTTGACAGCAGGAAACTTAAATTTAGCACAGTTAGACAGAAATAAGGGAAGCGATACACAGCATTTTTCAGTGCTCACTAATGTTAGGGCCCGAGCAATTATTACTTGGCCGAACACCACCACTACTCTCTCAACAAAATGATAAGTATCTTTGTAAAACTTTAAGAGTAGCTCCACTAAAGCAGACAACAAACAGATTGGTTGAAACCGGAGGTGCCACAACTAAGTGTTAGGAATCTAGCTAAACTATTTGATGCAAGATGGAAGAGAATGCAGAAAATGGGTATTAAACAAAAGTAATAAGGTAGTGGGAAATGAGGGGAGGAGGAAGAGGATTAAAGAAAAGAAGGGGAAAAGAGAAGAAAGGAGTATATTTTGATTGAGTATATTTTCATCATTTACTTTACTCCTCTTTCTTATTTATTGCAGTAATATCTATCTATCTATCTATCTATCTAGATATCAAGATGTATCTGTGTAAGAGTGTATGTATGTACTCTTATTTTTATCACTGTCATATCTATTTTAATATTATTCTGTTTGTTTGTTTTGCTTGTTTTTGTTATTTGAGATGTTGGGATCATGGGATGGGAGGGACGTAAAGTAGCTCATGTTAAGATTGACATTTTCTTTTTCTTTTGTTTCAGTGAGAAGTAACCCAAGTACTGTGAGAGACTATAAATTTTTTTTTAGCACAGTTTTAAATATGGCACAGTTCACAGCTACTGCGTAAGAAATTGATTCAAATTTATTATATTATCAACCTACGTCACACATTGTTAAATAGTGTTTAATTTCTGGTTAATTTTCTCAAATTTTCCGAACAGGAAAGTAACGCACCGTTGATTTTTTTTTTTTTTTTTTTTTTTAAATTTTGAAAAGCTAACCCGGAAGTGACAACGATGTTGACGCTACCTTGACAAAATATACTACGGACTCCACAGTCTGCGCTTAATGGCGTTTGTTTTGCAGCCATGAAGACACAATATTACAGTACAAGATTTGATGCGAGTTGAAGGGAGTAATGGAAAACTATTGAGTGTATTTTTAAATTATCGTACAAAGGAAGTTAAATTACAAATAATACTCTATTTACTTTATGAAGTAGACATCTTTAAGGTCTTTAAGGGTACATATTTATTGAATTTTTAATATGGCGCCTCACCTGCATCCTCAGGGGTGTCCTTGTCACATTGACACTCCATTTCTCTTCAGCTGTCGGACTTTCAGTCGGTGTGAAAGTAGCGACAATATGAGGCAGCGTTTCTGCTCAGAACTGTCAACATAAAAGCACGTAAAGTTCAACATAACACCCGAGTAAACAAATATGTACACAACTCAAACCAAAGCTAGGAACAGTAGCAGGATTAAATATGTATATAGCAAAAGTCAAGTGCCTAAATATCATTTTCCCATTCAATACATCAACTTAGACCTAGTTAAGACTGCATAATTACTAAGTTGTTTGTTAACATGTAGCCAAGTTTCAAGACAAGGTAAACCAAAACTAAAAAACCTCAACTTGAAAACTCAACACATACAATATACTGTAGTTAAAGTCTATTTAATCCCATAGCAATGGCAAACTGTTCCTACAGCCTCATTACCTGCAGTGTAGTCAGATAACCCTCCCCAGGAATGCCATCTACTTCCAGTCTGTCAAAACCTGTTGCAACTCATGAGGTCAAAGTTGTGTGTGATCTCTCCTTCCTGCTTTTGTGCAGAGGCATTTGCCTGTGCAGGCGTGCCCCCAACACTGCTCTCACTTTATTGTACTGAGTGGCAAACAGAATGCAGTGAGATGGTCCAGGTATGACGATAATGCTGTGGTCTTACTTTGGATGAACACACCTCTTTCTTTCTTGCTACAAGAAAAACTGGAAATGCTGCTCGACATGTACAGTGTACTGACTCATGGGGTTATAAAAATAAAACAAAGTGGATGCAGGGCTGTAAAAGGTTTTGGTTTTATTAATGCAAATGCAGGATTATCTACCCTAGTTACAGTATTTTTATGACTGTATGTTTACTGTACAATGTGTTTCAATGTTCATGAGACTTTGTATGATGTCAACCACTTTGAGAGTCCAGAAATTCAAACACGATTCGTATGATCTAGGACTGACACACCTACTGCAGACTTTAGCACTGAGCTGTATTGAACCATGATGCCTTGACAACAACAAAAGGGTAATTCAACTGATTTAATCTTATCAAGCACAACAGGAATCTTTTCTTTCAACACTCCAAACAGTGTCCTGATCTGTCCCCAAATTTCACAGACCACACTGTACATTAAAAACCTGCTACCTGCTTTCAAAATAGATCACACAGTTTACCAGAACTTGGTTTGTACAAAGTGTCTGAAGACGATTCTACACTTGAGGTGCAACAGATACACTGATCTGACAAAATTGTCTGCTCATGAAGGCACAGTTGAGTTGTGTATTTAACTCCTCAAGATCCCAGCTGGGCGGTCAGAGCATCTATCAGCTCCTGCTTCTTGGTCCCGGTGGTGCGGATCCCGAACTGCTTACAGGCGTCCTTCAACACGGGCACGGTCAGCTTACCCAGGGTGCCGTTCTGCACGTGGGCCTTCAGCTCGTCTTCTGACACCTCCACTTTGGGCTTCTTCTCTGCTCCACCTCCGGTATCAGCTGTTGGATCATTTATCAAAAACATCAGTCAAAAGAATGATGTTATTTTAACCGCATCGTAGCACAAAAGGGCCACATTCATCAGTACTGATCAATAACCTCGGCACCAACAACAAAGATACAGTAAAAGCAATGTTACTCAGTTCCTGTTACGACTTCAGCTCTGACCTGCTTTGCGTTTAGGGGCCGGTTTGCTCTCGGGGTTGTAGCCCGCAGGGTAGACCAGATCTTTAAACTCCTGAACCAAAGGACCCAGACGGCGGTCCATCTGGTCCACCTTTGGCACTGAGACAGAGAAAAAGACAGACAGGTGCAGGAAGTGTGAGACATAAGAGCAAGAAGTTTTTGTAGAGGTCGAGACAGTTTGAATGTTTGTTTGACTGTATCTTACTGATGAGGTCCTCTACGTCCTCTGGAGCCATCATATCCAGAGCCAAGGCCTCCAGGTTCCTGTAATGCTGCTGGATGACTGGATTCTCAAAAGCATCACTCCTGCATTACATTACAAACAATGAAAACATGTTACAGACAGAAACCCAGTGAGTAACCTTGTTACGAGCACCACAGTGTCCATAAATTCCACATGAAAACTGCCATGCCTCAATTAAAGTAGTATCATTTTGAAGAAGCTAAACAACATATACCAATGACACAGACACATTGCTTTGCTGTTTAGGATTACAGAAGCATCCCTAAAAGAAGATCTCCATAAAACATGAGCAGCTACCTGTATTTGAAGCGGAGCTTGGAGACGATCTCCTTCATCTTGTCCACCTGAACTTGTGAAGCCGATGGGCACTGGGGAGGATCCAGAGTCCGAAAGTCGTCAGCGTACGGCAGATAGATGACGTTGAAACCTGATTTAGGGCATGAGAGACCACATGTTGCCATCAAACTTCAGTACACTACAATGATCTAGACCAGTGGTTCGCAACCTTTTACCTGAGGGACCCATATTTTTAGTATTGTAGACTTTGGTGCCAGCAGTGTGTTACCTGGTGGTGTAATCTGTACTTTCCACTCGTCGATCTCCTCCTTCTGAGGCACCAGGGCGACAAATCGAGGTGAGTAGTTTCGGCGGGAGATGCAGCGGCACAGAGCGAACACGTTCTTCTCGCTACACTTTGTTAACAAGGCAGAGAACAGGCATGCGCTGCCTGGAACCAAGAATATATTCACGCTTAACAAACAGAGAAGATGCTGTAAGACATTTTTGATTCCAAAAAGGGCAACATTCTTCATGAATTTAAGTAAATGGGGACCAGATTTAACAACAGGAAACCTGCATTAAAACATCTGTTTACAAACTCATGTAGAATAATCCAAGTCTCGTGCACAAATTGCATGAGTTTAGTACAAGGTGCTGATGTTTTGATACAGTTTTGCTGTTGTAAAACGCGGTCCCCCTTTACTTCCATTCATGAAGAATGTTCTCCTTTTTTGGATCCTCCGTTTACTGTGGAGGCATGCCAAAAGCTTCCTCATGAAATCAAGGTAACACGTGGTGGGTAAGTGATATACAAATGGTCATTTTGTGGGTGAAGTAAATCAGACACAAACAAAGAGTCCTACCTTTCACCTCGTTCTCCTCAGGGTAGAGGAAGACAGCCGGTCGGATATGGTGGTGACGTTTGAGCTTCTCCATGGGTTTGAATCCGATCAGAAACATTCCAGGATCGTCAAACTTCCTGATGGCGTCCACCTCATCTCTCTCCATCACAATCTGCTTCTTACCATACACCTGGAGTAGACACACATGACAATAAAATCACTGAATCAACTGAATCAAATCACTGAAATGATTTTGATCAGCAATGACATTCAGGTTAATTTTGTTCAGCTGTTTGTCATCAAGTCTTTCTGGTGGGTAACAGACCATAATTTAGGATTTATTACCAGTTAGTTACTATAAAATCAAACTTGCAGTTTACAGTACATATATGACAATTTAAATCTTTTACAAAAAGACCAAACCAATCTTCTACATCAAATCTGCTCTCACCTGGGCTTTCTTTATCTCACTGGGCAGCAGCAGGCTGCCAGTCTGGGTGTGGAAGGTTCGGGTTTTGCTGCGGACTGGCTCGTTGGTTTCCCTGTAAAGTCTGACGGGAGGTGGTTTCCGAGCTGTCACAGCAGTTGCATAAATTCCCACTGCTAGATTTATGCCCTCACCAAGACAGAGATTTAGCCTGAAGATGGCAGAGAGGGAAGAAAGAGTAAGGAGAAGGGAAGAACAAGTGTTAAATGATTAAATAGACACAACGATGCACCACAAAGGAAGAAGAAAGCAAAATGCAGAGCCGTAAATAGAACAATAAGAAAGAAAATTAAGTAACTAAACTCTACTTTTATCTGTTTGGAAACAGAAATGTGTGACTTGTCTCTACCTGGCCATGGCTCTCTTCTTCTGCTCCTTGGCGCGCACCCTCTTCTGGAGGTCCTCCAGTTTGTCACAAGGCTCCAGCTGCAGCCCCAGTTCGCTCTCATCCTCAGGTGGACTTACAATGTCACGGAAGAAGGGTGCGACATCGAAGCCGCCCGGTTTCATCAGATGCATTAAGTCAATGATGACACCTAAGAGAGGGGATCAGTCACATGAGTCCATGATGTACAAGTTTAACATGTTAAAACTGCAATTAAGAATCACCAATTAGAAATTATGAAGTAACATTTTGATGTTAGCGCCTATCACACAGAAGTCATAAATTGTAAGGACTAGCTGGGTTGATAAACAGAAAGAAAGTGCAGCTCTGAGCTTTAATCCAAAACAGTATGACAGATTTTCACTAAAAAAAAAAGAGCATTTCCTTCAGACATACCGGTCTCTTTGAGGTCACCAGCCTTGGTGCGAGCCTGTCGGTCCTTCACGTTGTCACCCCCGTGTGGCTCATCCCTGCAGGTGAAGATCATGAGCCGCTTGTGTGACAGGCGCAGCTTGATGTCACTGTAGAGGTTGGCGCAGCACCACAGGGCGTCTCCTAAAGACGTCTCCCCGCTGCCCATGGTCTCTGCCGCAAGCTGGGCACCTTTAGTCCCTCGCAGAGCATCCACCTCCTGCACTCGCTTTGCACCTTAGCAGGCAGATTCAGAGGACTTTATTAAAGTGCTTACATTTTGCTGCACATGCACTGACATCAAAAATGTATTTACTAAAATCAACGGCAACTGTGCACTGGTATTTCAAGTGCTCCTATGTTTGTGAGAAATAACATGTTATAACAATAAATTAAAAGGTTGAATATGTTTTATATGAATACATCCAAAGCATGAAACCTGTGCACAGCAGCTGTGCCCACATTTGTGGTTTCAGCAAAACAGCAGCTTTACAGGTGAAGTGTGATCATGTGTTTGCAGAGTGCAGCATCTCACCGGGTTCATCGAGGTCGTGGTACACATAGACATGCTTGAATGAGTTCCTGGGATTTTTGCTCTGCTCGGTGCCGTAGAAAACCAAAGCCACCAGGTCCCTGTGACTGCTAATGATCTTACTGGTGTACACACTGCGCACAACCTACGAGGACAGAACACAGACGATGATTATTATAAGAATAAGGGGGTATCTAATAATAAAACAACTTATTTTGGATGTGCAATAGGTAAGCTCTGGAAGTTTTCAGTTTTTCTTATGTTTTCAATAATAAAACAATAACTGCATGAAAAAATCTAGATGATGTACTTGTAAAAATGCCAGCACTTTTCTGCAAATCCAACTAGGACAAAAAGACAACTGGCCATTTTACCTGCATGGTCATGTCAAAGTTGGAGGGTTCTCCGTCTTCTCCTTTGACAAACATTTCCTTGGACGCATCAACCAGGAAGACCAAACTGTCTCTCCCCGTCACCTTGTAATCATCTGACAAAGAGAGAGACTGATTTGTTATTGTCTGACTTTAAGGCTTCAGAAAATGCCTTAATTTTTAGCATCAAACACTATCTGATAACAAGTGTTAAATAACATGTTCAGTACTACAGTTCAGAGAGGCTGTACAGAGGTGATGTAGTGCACAGCACATGCCAGCAGAGGATAGTCTCCAATAGCAGCAGAGCTGAGAATGATGGCGACTGGGACTGTGAGTGGTAGGGATAACATTACAAGACTACAAAAAAGAAAAATGCCTCACAGGTCTCCTAACTAATCAATTAAACATTACTAAATGTGGAATCGGGAAGGTATTGCCAAACATAATTTTATCTTGAGATGACTTCTTCCTGCTGCAAAAGAACACATGCCACGTGATTTTATTTAACTGACAGTTTGCCACCACCATTTGCACCTATTCTCCATTGAGTCCACTTATGCATTAGTGTACACTGCAGCAACAAGTGTCATTAAGTCCTACCACAATAATCTATAGAAGAAGGGTACTTATTTCCTACTTATTCATTATTCTAATGTTTCTTTTTTCACATATACTGTCATATGTTGTAGATCACTGTAAAATATAAATTACATGGCATGCAGGTGTGATCAAATCAAAGTTGTCAGACACATGTATTAGTGAAACGTAAAGTGAAATATAAAAATGTGGAGGAAATATAAAATGTAGAGGAATAATGCCCATATTAGAGAGAGCTGTGGTAGCAGACAATCTTGCATTATTTGCACTACAAATGAAGTGATGGGGAGGCTTTCATCTCACCTCCAGATTGCTCTCCGTCCTCCTGCTCTTCCTCATCCTCCTCATTGCGGTAGAAGGCGTTCCACTCCGCCATCTACGCCGCTTTTTTTCTGTCAAAGGATACAAGAAGACACAACAACAGGTAAAATAAAGTACTTAAACGTTTGATGTTTAAACTGTGTAGTAGTAGAGAATTTGGACTGGATTCAAACAGTGTCATTTTTTCGCAGCCAGCATCTTGCTGTAAACTCTAATGATGCACACGCTCCACCTCTGGACGAATGGGCCATCTCTTCTTAACCATCTGATGCATTTTGGAAGAAAGCACAACCCAACCCGAGCCACAATAGTGTCGTGCTCATTTAATCAGTGAACAATACCTGTGCAAAGGACAACGCCGTTTGAACCCTGTATGACGTTTAATGTAGATATTATTAAGACTTTATAAACTTTAACCGAGGTTTCAACTTTGCCCAGGCAGTGTTTAGGTTAGCTAGCTTAGCTTGTAATTAGCCGCTGGTCGCCTCACCTACAGTTTGAACTCGCTTAGTAAACAAACATATTTTTCTTATGATACACACAAACTATAAGGACTAAACACATTAAAACAATAACATGAAGATATATTAAGTCACTGCATGAACATACAGTCACTTGCCGTGCTCTGTTTCTTTCCCCCCACAAGTCCGGGCTAGTTTTAATGACTGGCGCGTTCAGGGACGTGAACGAGCACGCTGAAGAGCGTATGAAACGGCTCGTCGTCTATTGGACACTGGTCTGCCAATCTAAGATACTGGCCAATCCTAGCAAAGTGGGCGGGACTTCTGAGCAGAGGGGCTCGACTCCGGAAAAAGTGGGAAATCACATTTTGACAGTCATGTTATTGTTTACAGTCGGACAGTGACACAGCACGAGCTGTCAGACCCTGGTAACTTTGGACCTTTACTACGACATTTATATTTTATACTTTATTCATTACTTTTTTCTGGAAAGTAGTCTGTAGCTTGTTTTTTTTATAGCCGTAACAGTTCCACGATAAACTTTTTTTTAATTAAAGTTTGTTTGCTACCTACCGGTAAATTAGCCAGCAAGCTAACTCCCAGTGGGTGTGAGTCAGCTAACTTTGAACTAGGTTAGCGGCAGTTGTCATTTTAAAGTAACCTGTTTTTGCCGTCATGGACCAAACCGACTCCTACCCAGTGTTACTGTACATCTACGACATGTCCAAAGGCATGGCCCGCCAGCTGAGTCCTGTCATGCTAGGTGAGTTTCTGAGGAATTACCTGTTGAGTGGCTTCATGGAATCCGTAGACAGTGCGCCCGGGCCCGGGAGAGAACTCAGGAGAGACCGGGGACGCTGCTCAGGCCTAAGATGGAGGCTTGACAGAATACTTGATGTATAAATAAGGTTGAAATAAGGACAGTCTGATTTCATTCTTGTTTTTATCATCACAGGGAGACAGCTCGATGGGATATGGTGAGTGCAGCTTTTTTTATCAAGTAAATTTTGTAAGTTTTCTCACCAAAGATGCTGTAAACTGCGGTAAAGTGATTTCATTGACTTAGGTTTGTTGGAATAAGGTGTTTTGATATTTTATAGGCACACTGCTATTGTCATCCATGGAAAGGAGTTCTTCTATATGGGAGAAGGCATCAGCAATTGTCCACCTGTAAGAATCAGCTTCATTCTTTCCTCAAATACAAAGCACATGTGATTTAAACATTTTTATTTCTGTACAGGAAAATGCAAATATTAACAAAGTAATGAATCAAAAAGTGTTTGTCAAAGTGTTTCAAACAAGGCATACTGAGGGGTTTATGTGTGTTGCATCCTAGAGTGGAACCCCCTTGGGTGACCCTGACTCCATAGTGGACCTGGGCTCCACTGAGGTGAATGCAGAGCTCTTCATGGAGTACCTGATTTCACTGGCAGAGTCCACATACAGGTAAAGGCACAGGCTCATTACACCCCAGCTGGACCATCCTGTAGGTTATGTTAGAAAGGATTCATTTTGTGACTCAAGGACTTTGACCAATTTTTTCAGAAAGTCTGCCAGAACATTATGAGGCATCCTTGGCATTCTCCAAATTATTAAAGCAGGAATTTACAATTAAAAAAATAAGAATAAAGAATAAAAACACAAAAGTAATTGTAAGGCAAATGACTTGCTGCTGTGCTAACCTTTCAAAAATAACCTGCGGTGCTACAAAATATTATCACCTTGAACTTGTCTCTTGTTTTAGCAAGAATTACAGGCCATATTTCCTTTGTAATATCTCTCCATCATTATGTCTCTATGTTGTCTTTTCCTGCTACTCACCCGCACCTCTCCACCCTCTCCGGGCTCTCTGTCTTTTCTCTGAATATATCTCTGTTTCCTCTCTTTCTCTCTCGTCTTCTTTCTCTTGGTGAACAGAGGTGACAAGTACAACTTGTTTGAGCACAACTGCAACACTTTCAGCAACGAGGTGGCTCAGTTCCTCACGGGCAAAAAGATCCCATCGTACATTACAGACCTTCCATCTGACATACTGTCCACGTGAGTTGATAAGCTTTGTAAAGCTGTTCTGTTGTTCTTATTTTTGTCTCTGTCTTATTCTCTGTATTTATAGTCAAACTGTATCTCTCCTTATGCTGATGTCACAATATTAGAAATCCTTATTTTGTATTTTTCATCTAATACCTTGAATAATTAATACCATCATGATACCAAAGCTAATCCACTAATTGGTGGAGAACTTGGCTGCAACTTTTTTAGCAGTTTTGGTGTCCGTCTTCGTAAGTCCTGTATGGTCATTTATTTGACACTGGGCTCCTGTCACTATATAATTTTATAGTAAGGTATATAGTTTAGGTGGGCTTGGATTCTGTTCAGGTTGTCAAGAATGTTGTGCAAATGCTGCCACTCTACTGTCAGAGCACACTAGAAAACAGATCTTGAGCACACAATGTCAGGGCCGCCCATAAGGAAAACTTCCTTGGGAGGGGCTTGGAGACCAGCAATGATCACATTCACCCAAAGTATACGAAATGATAACCACAATTTATTTGAACCACAATATTGATAATAGCAACGTGTGTGTGTTTCACAATGTATCCCTCCTTCCCTTAAAAGTGAATGCAATTGTTGAAACTTTGGGCAGCTGGTCACATGACCTTAAAAATTCACTAACTGAACTGATGTACCTACGTTGAATTGATTAGTCCAAAGCAGATTTGGGAGGGCCCATTCACGGGGCCACTGTAGGAGTCCAGCCATTTCTGTGGATGGGCCTGCACATTGTTTGATCATTTTGTTGGTTGGCAATTTCTTGTGAATGTCCAACCAAACATAAATAACAGAAGATGGAAGTGGGGAAAGCAGTAGTTAGTTGAAAGACAAGTCATTCATCTGCAATATATACTGGTGTGAGTCCCTTAGATGCCATTTGTGAAATAGAAAGAGCTTGTGCACCAGTGTTCCCTGATCTACCAGAGAGAAATCCACTGTTGAAGAGATGGAAAACACTTTTTTAAAGATGTATTTATTTCTAAGTAGGGGTTACAGCCAAGTAAATGCAACTAGAGCAGTAGAGGCAAGTAGGAAAAAATAGGCATAGGAAAATAGTAATTTGCATCACTTCACCCCAAATAAAGCCTGAGATGTACTGAACACCCCAGACTGATGTCTTGTATGAGAAGATGTAATGATGGATTTTTCTTTTGATCAGTTCACTCATACCTCCCAGAGGATGTGACACTGAGACAACATTGCGTTGCAGTACAGCGCAACATTTATGAAATATTAATATTACACAGCAATCACTTGCAATAGTACAAAAGTAATACTGCAGTTGCACTTAATGTGACACTGTGACTTCAGTCTGTTATTTATCTCTTTCTTGCTCTCTGCCAGTGTGTGTTATTCTCAGTTGAAAGACTGTGGTCGTCTTATGCTCTTTTTTTTTTACATTTCCCCCTCCCCGTAATAGCTCACATGCTGTACTTTGTTTCAACTTTCTTTAGGCCTTTTGGCCAGGCTCTCCGTCCCTTACTGGATTCCATCGTCATAAATCCCGGAGGCACCAACATAACTGGACAGCGATAGATTTTATTTAAGAGTTTGGGTAAGAGTGGGACACTTGCCATCAGCCACCAGCCAGACCCTGATCACATCTCCGCCTGTGGTTGACACTTTGATCTTTGCTTTAAGTCGCTTTTCCAGTTAACCAGACATCTTTTGGACTGTCCTCTCTGTTCAGTTTCTGCATATTCTACACATCTGAGGTTTTTAAGATTTGCCAGCAACTGGGGCCAACAAGGAGATTTCTACTCTGGGTGCGATAAATCTGGTGCTGCTACGAGTTTGTGTGTGTTTATAAAGTGAGAGTACCTCGCCTGGTTGAACTAAATCATTATATATATCCTCCAGATTTGTTTTTTAAATTGTTATTTTAAAAGCTGAAATCCTAATTACCTGCATCGGTGCTATTAAGATGCTTTTAAATATACATCTCCCTCCTATACTAAGGTGCTTCATTATGACAGTCTATTGTGAAGTGTGTTACAATTAAGAACCAGTATAGAAAATTGATTGACCCGTACAGAATCAGATTTGAGAAGAGGACAATAATGGTAACTTTTAGCTTCCTTAAAATGTTAACGGAACTTGATATATTTCCTTACCAGCACTGTATCAGCAAAGCCTGACTAATTCTATCACTCCTTTGCCTCTTCATGCTCAAACACATAACTTGTCTTTCACCCTGTATGCCACCATATCAGCTGAGAGGGAGAATGGAGATTAATCCATCTCATAAGTGTCCCCGTCATCGCCTCACCTCCTTGTGGTCATTGTCACATCATACATTTTTGATTACTGTGCGCATCTCGGCTTCTGAGTCAAGTGCCTTTCTTCATCATCAGGGATGCTGTTCGTTACAATTTAACAGAATATACAGTATGTGCGTAATATATATACCAGTATATAATATATATTTTGGCAAAGCTATGCTTCATTCTGTATTTTAATGAGTGTTAACGCAATCCTCGAAATGTGTCACTTAAATAACTGTTTTGTTTTTTTTTCAAACTTAATCTGTATCAGTATCAAAATACACAGTAATACCTGTTCTCTGGATAATACTTAACATGTCATATTCTGTTATGATTTCCTTCCTGTGGTCATCATTATGTCAGAGCTGCACTCCAAGAGCAAGTAAGAAAGTGAAAGTTAAAATGAAGTAAACCGCTCTCGCCTGTCTTTGTATTTTGTATATTCAGAAAATACAGTTTGACTGAATATATTGAGTTGTCTTTAGTGTACATTTGTGTAACTTCAGAGGTGGTTGCTTCATTCAGGAACAGCTAATGACGCAGAGCATTTTTGAAATACAGGACCAAATCACATGTACATCTTTCAATTGCTTTACTTGCCAGACGGTTCAATTTATAAGGACAGATTGTTACATATCCAGGTATTGTTCCCGATGGCAATGGATACTGAATTTTTGCGTAGTTTGTATTTACATGCATGATAATGTACAGCAGGTATTAATGCAAACAGCCACTTACCTGCATTACTGTAAGGCCATGAATAACTCCTTAAAGAGAAACAAGTATGAATGATGCCAGCAGTGTCTTTATTCTCAGTTTATTCTCATGTCCTTCCTGAAAAGTTTCCTTTAAATTATCAATTGTTATTTTGAATATATTTATTATTGGCATTGTTAGTATCACACCTATTTGATCATGCCTAAAGATTGTCTGCAGGTTGTTAAAAAGTATTAAATTGTCCCAAATGCAATTCTACATACATGCACAAGGCCTCTAAAATCACTTATTCTCAAAAACTGGACTGTGTAAGTTTTTAAATTTTATTAAAATATTCAACCTGAAGAATGGCTCATTACTGTTGCATAAGAATTTATTGATGTTTTATGTTCTGCATTGATAAAAACAATTTAAAAAAAAGGATTAAAATTGACTGGATTAAGAATTACAAACTTGAGGACACCCAATTACGAATGCTTCAGGTTCATGTAGTACCAAGAGCAGCCATAGGGTGTCACTACAGGCTCACTTCAGCGGTGGCACCGACCAGTTTACTCCGCGATACATCAAAGCAACACATACATCTTTAATGTGTTTACATTTGTAGAATTGACGGGTGAATTAGTGGTTACTGGGACATGTTTGTGATTGTTTCTTGCTCAAATCCCAGCTGGGAGAATACTGCAGATGTACTGTAACTACTGTCATTTACCTCCAGCTACTCCAGAGGAGCTGCTCTGAGGCTGACAGCAAAACAGATGTTGTGCTCTCAATCTCCTGCCAATAGACAACAGTTAAATATAGCATTTTTTATTATTAAGAAAAAGTTGGTGAAAGTGATCTCAAATTGGCTCTTACAGCTATATTGGAGTTTTGTCTGTTCATTGTTTTGAGAATTAACTGACCCATAAGGTGTTTTGCTCATTTCTTTGATACAAACACAAGTCAAACCAAAGCCTTATATTGATTTTACAATCTTTAATATTTCATATCATCAAAAGTGGCATCAGTTACTAAACAATCCTCTGCAAAGAACTTTTCTAGAACATTTTGGGTATAAATTAGCTGTTTGTTGTAATAAGAACAGGTACATACAGTATTTACATATTTTTGCTACATACTGTAAATCACACCAACACACCTTGGATTTACTTGGCTATCATTTTTGTATTATACATTTATCATAGCTCTGTTCTTTTACATATTCTTTTGTTAAACAGATAATATAAGGTTCTCCAAGACAATGACCTGCAAAGATTCATAGTGCCAAAGTGGGATGAATTCCCTTCTTTAACTTGCAAAGGAACAGTTTCTATTGCACAGCCCAGTATCCGCACACAGCGCTACATATCACAGTCTTCTCTGCGTGTGCAAACCAGTTTTAAACAAACTGCTGCATGCTGCTCACGGCAAATCAGATCTAACCTCACCACTACTTGTTTTGCACAGCGTCCCATATACTGTATCAGTCAGTATTGTGTAATCATACAATAGAAAGTATCGATGCTTTAGACAGCCTGTCAGCTTTCCAGTTGCTTTGTCCTACACTGCAGTTAATGTGTGTCACTGTGTTTTGCCACTAATGTAAAAACCCGCTGCAATAATGTAACACACATTACAACAGGCCTACTTCATCCTCCTCTATTGCACAGTAGAAAATTGCACAGCTCACCTAATTTAGAACTTTCTATGCATGTTTAATGTTGCTAAAATCCTTAACATGAAATAATATATTCTATTAAAATCTGACAGCAATTATAATAGATACTTACAATGACTCGGTTCATACAGCCCTTATTCAAACGAAATATATAGGAAAATCCCTATTTACACAATATTCATAAATAAAGCAGAACACATGATTTTTCCAAAGATGTCTGCACTACATAAAACCTAAAAAATACCGTAATCAAAAAGATTGAATCGTAATGTACACAGATGTGAAACATTTATCAGAAATGGATGAAAAGAACAGGGGTATCGTTGTTGCATGATTTCATACCAAGAGAAAATATTGGAAGCACTTGTTCACGGCAAAGAACTAAAATTCTATTGCTCATAAAAACAGATTTTGTTTCTCTAAACCAGCAGATCTCAACGCTTTTAACACACAACGTCAAGCAAGGAGAGGAAATGATTCCTGCCCATGATCCTTTGCTGCATTGGTAATGTTAAAATTACTTTTGTGTTAACTCGTGTGAGATGTGTTTGGTTGAAAGAGTGACCAAAGCATCAGTCACAGTGCGCTTAATCTGATTTGCTAACCCTCAGATCCATTTACTAGAACTTGTTAAAACACAGTGTAGAGAGTTAAAATCTATGACAGTATGTTTGTTTGTATCTGTTAGTGAATGAGAGAAATGGCCCCTGTCTTTGAGGAGACAGTGAGGTTGACTGTGTGTGGTTTGGGGGTCATGAGGGCAAATATGGAGTGCACTTTGTCACTGAGAGGCAGATTTTGGCAGTGGGACGGAAAACTGATGTTATTCCATTGTCATAACTCATGTTTTCAGATGTCACTGTGTTGTTATCTGGTGCCACCCAATGGCATTGTTTAAATATACAACTCCAAATACTCTGTGACAACTTTCCAAAAGAAAGCACTCTACAGTAAATGCTTTTACCTGCAGCAATTTATCCCTGGTTACTGAATCTTATACCGCTGACAGTGTTAATACCCTGCTTTACTCACAGAAATACACAGGAAGTGAAGGTGGGGGTCCATTCCTCCCATGTGAAAAAAAAATAGGATTTATCAATGGGAGGAAAGCTGCAGAAGGTGTGTAGTTAATATTAGTTTTATGTCTGCATGTGGTGCACCATGGTTATGCACTGAAATTTACTTTATAATGTAAGTCTGATTAAGGTGTACTAATCTATATGTATATGTATGAAGTGATGAACCCTACAGGGAATTATCGACAACCACAGACTGTATGATAGAAGTGGAAATAGCCTCCAGGTCTGAGAACTGAAGCCAATGTGGAAGTGGCGTGAACCCGCATTTTCTCTAATGGCCAGCAGGTGGCGACTCAACTGGTGGCAAAAAGAAGTATTATTGTATAGAAGTCTATGAGACAATGACCCTACTTCTCACTGGACTTATTACCTCAGTAAACATTGTCCTATTGAGTTTCTGGTTGCAGTCAGTAGTTTCAAGTTTTCTTCAATACAGCATGATTGAGTATTCAGTAAATTAAGGTCTCATTTAGAGTAAAATAGATAATCAAGCAGAGTGGGCTTTACGGCACGGCTACCTTGGGATTGACCACTATCTACTACTGTGGTGTCTTTCGGTTCTAAGTCAGATCCACCTGTCGCCCCTCTAAAGCTCCACCCTGCTCCAAATATGGTCACTTCTGGCTCCAAACAAAAAAAACAAGATGGTGACAGCAAAAAAGCTCAAGACTTCAAAACAATATTCCACAAACCAATCTGTCACATCACAGTGGCTGTGTTCGTGTCTTGTATGAAATCTCTGCACCCAACTCTCCATTTCCCCTGAACTCTATTGACTATTTTAGCATCTTTCAGCTCATTCTTTTGGTTTTTCAACCAGCAACTTTACTGTTTTGGTTCACTATCTCTCTAGGGCATTGTTTTCAGCTTCAGCAGTCTGATTTTTTTTTTCTCAAAGCAGCTCTAAAAACCCACTGTACTTTACCTGTCCACCACCATAACCAAAAAGACAAAGTCAGCGACCAGCAAGTGAACATAGTGAAGCATTTAGAAACTAGATGGATATTTCCCTCAAGAGTTAGCAGAGACCAAACTGTAGCTAAAAGGAGATTGAATGTTGGATTTGAATCACACTGCCAGATTCAAAATGAGTATAGCTTTGAATCTTCTAAATGTGTAAACAGTTACCTATCGAGAAGGCAACATCTAGAAGTTTGGCATGTCATCGTTTTTCTCAGCTTGCTTCTGCTGCCCCCACAAGTGGCCATAAAAGTAAATTATTGCATGCTTAGAAAGCATCTTGGAAGATAGTAACCTAATGGCCCATTTCCATCAGATCCAGGGACGAAGGGCGCTTTCTACTGACTTCCTATGGATAGCAGGAGAAGCAGTCGCCCATTGGGTAGTGGGAGTGTTGTAGCAAGCTTGGTGGAGGTTTTTTTTGGTGCATTGGCTTGTCTGTATTTGCGTTAAGTAGACTAGATTCAACTTTAGACAAATGAGTCAGTCCATTTCCATGCATCTGGCTCACGAAACTTGGACCAAGCTGTCAAACTAGGCAAAGTACTTCTAAAATACAATGAGACTTAGCAGCGGCATTTCCTGTTTCTTGCCTCAGATGTTTTCAGAAATACATTTTGGTTGGACTGTTTAGACGAAATAACAGTTTATGAACAGGTCTAGCTAAAAGAGATCCAGGGACCACCCAACTAGCAGCGCATTTATCAATCAAATGCAATCCATAATATGGTATGTCATCAGTGGAAAGCCCATCAAGCATGTCCCCAAGCGTCCTTGCTGCATCCGGTGGAAATGTAGCGTAACAATGTTCTCTTTTGTTGCCTTGAGAACGATGGTTGCTTTTAGATGTTGCACTTCCTTAATATACAGCATGATATAAAAGGATTTAGGGATGTTAAGCCTGCGGCTCAGACTTGCGCTGTTGTCTCTCAGGAAAACAGGACATTTGAAATTTAGTTTGATGTCTCAGACCCCATTATTTCCTGCATAACTTTGTGAGGCTGTACGTGATTGTGAAGTCTAAGGTAGATCCTGTGTATCTGTGGGTGTGTATGTGTGTGTTAAAGCTGATACTAAAATTTGATTTGGCTAAATATGGCGAATTTATATGATGTCACTACTTTATGCAGGTAGTTTAGCCGCAAAGAGGGGTTCGGTCATTTAATGGCACTGTGTTATGTTGTGTGATTTGTCCATTAATTGTGTTTGGTCTCTATTCACCTGTACTTATATTTTTGCTTGACTCTTTATTCAGCTGCTACAAAAGCACTTCTCACTTTAACCACAGAAAATGTGCTCTTTAAGCACATGTATTATTACCTTATGGAAGTATTTCTGGGAACATGAGCAATCATTGTTAACAGCTGACTTGACTGTGCAGTTCCTGAGGGTGTTGGAGCCATAAACTCTCACCAACAAGTCCAGTGGATGTGTAGCATTAACTGTTGCATGTTCATAGCAGCAGCTCTGCACACTGTCCTTTGCTGTGCAGGCTTCAGAGACAAGATGACAAATGTTTAATGCTCTAGGCCTAGAAGTGCCTCAGCGAATCCCCCTGCAATGGTGCCTGGGGCTTGGAAATCGCACACAGGCATCCACACACGTCCGAGTTATGACCCAGACAGCTTAGTAGTGAGAGACCCAGA